AGTATTCTGTAATCAGAATTCTTGTATAATCAGTCATCTGAACATTTGTCAATATTAACAAAACAGTTTAATTTGGAAAAAAAAATGTTTTGAATGCTTCATAGGTATGTGCTTAGCCTCCGGGATTTGAAGAAATAAACATTTTCCTTATCATCAGAGAAATACATGTCAATTTGAACCAAGTTAGATACAAACAAAAAATTATGGAAGACTTGCCTAGATCAGATAATGTAACAGATTTAAAAAATTATGTTTTGTGTTCAGTAAACTATTTTTAGTTTATTAGCATACTGACTATATCTTATTTTACTTGAATCATGTTCCTGGAAAAATTACTGTTTTTCTTCCCATCGAGTATTTTGATAAGACAAGAAATACGTGATACTGTATGTGTTCACTTTCTGTCCTGCCAAATAAATAAAAGTTGTGATGTTTCTCACTTGTCTCTCCTAATACCCACTCTCCCAGGTTGCCCCGTCTTTCCTCCTGGGCTGCTGATGTGTATGGTCTTCTGAGGTTCTTTCTTGCCTCCCTGCAGCATGATCATAGGACTCCCCTGCTCTGAACTCCACTCCTGGTTCTGCATAACCCACACAGTGAAATCTGGTCTTTCACCAATACTGAAGACCTTCCACATTGCTCCATACATCCTCTCTGTCCTCACCTCCCCACTTTCCTTTCTGTATTCTAAGCTGGGCACAGGAACTACAGCCTATATTTTCCCATCTCTTGATTTTCATGCACTCTTCTCATTGTTTTAAATGCCTTTATCCATCTTTGCTTGTCCAATTCCTGCCCAATTCTATCATCTTTTACATGCCTACTCCTCGAGCAACTTCCTCTGATCTGCTCCACACCCAGACCAAAAACTCCTTAATGTTTTCATGCCATGTATATCCAGAGCACATTTTTCTGTCTTTTTCAGGTAGACAGATTATTCATGTATCCTTTCTTGTTATCTCTGTGGCTAAACTCTGAATTTCTTAAGGAAGGGAGCCTTATTTTTGTTGTTTATTACTTTCCTACATCCCCTTTTTTGCCTGGTTTTGATGCTTGTACATAATAAGCACACAATTGACCTATTGTTCGATGAATGAATCAGTCTATAATGACAGATATGACAACTCTGGTATGTTATTTTAGCTGGTGAATTTTATTTTCTTGATATATAGCAGCATCAGGAAATTAGATATATTTCCAAGGTTAAAAGTCTTATTATCTGTTATACTCTTTAGTCGTTGACAAGAAAGCCACCAGTAGTTGCAACAGCGACTAGAGTTTGAGTTTTTCATCTTCGAGAAGTTACCTCAGCACAGCCTTGTCTCTAAAAACCCTATTGGGCGATGCACTAAACCTGTATTCTCCAGGGATTTAGACACAGTGTAGAAACCCTCAGTATATTTGGGATTATCACAGGGAGGAAGAGAAAAATCAGTTTCTTATCTAAACATTGCTGCCAGTGAAAAAAAGCAAAACAATTAGTTTCCACCAACTAAGGCAATTTAGAGGAGCCAGTGGACAAAGTAAGCGAGTTTCTGAAGGTCTTGTACCATGTCTTAGGCTACAGTTTTTTGGAAAAGCAACTTAGGATATTAAGACCAGTTCTTCTTTGTGAAAATGTTGTAAGCATTCAAACAAAACCACGGGTCACATATGTATGTTTTCATCTCTTTATTTTTGTTGTGAAATAGGCTTTGCCACTAACTTTGTTTAAATACTCTTCTGGTTGTTATTGTCTTTACTATTTTAAGAATCTTTCACTATTTTACAGAATGATGGTGCTTGCTTTGTCTTGTCTTGATTTTGCAGTATGCATTTACTTGGTAGCTACACAGGACAATCTAGTCTTGGGTTGAATGCGTCATGGTCTCTGATGGGCTTGAATAAGAAATGAGTGGGAATGTGTGGGGAATACTAGACTAGAACATGGTGTATAGTGGGCAAAATTCAGGTTGAGGGACGATTAGTCACAGAGCTTACAGGAAAAATTCTGTTGCAAAGACAATGATGGATCATTTGCTTCCTGAATGAGCCATTCAGAAGGAACCTCTGCCAAATCACATATCTCTCTGAATGAGATTTTCCAGAGAATGCTTCCCCAGAACTAGTTGGTGTGGGTGACTTTATTCTAATCAGCCTTTACAAACTTTACAGTTTTTAATTTATTAATCGTTTGGAAGGAGGGTCAGTTGAGTCTTTTTGGTCTTTTGGGTATCTTTAAATTAGAACATGATTCCTTTGGTAAATATGTGCTGATAAAAATCAGATATACTGTAAAAAAATCAATTTTTGTTATAGTTTAAGAATAAACTCTTCTCCAAGTTTATTTCTTAACTAGAGCTTTAAGAATTAATCTTCAGTGTATTTTGTCACAAGGAGTAATCAGGTCTGACCATTATAAGCTTATTATCTTTGGACTTCTGCCTTGCACGCAGCTTATGTGCAAGGTAAAACAAGACCCTGTACAGTTTCTTAATTAAAATAAGGTTTAGTTGCCTAATTGATGAGCTTCCTGATTTTCAAATAGGATGTAATATATTAGTAACCTGGGAACTTGGAATTCGAATGTGAAGATATAAATTTTTCTATCCTAATCAATTCTTTGAAGCTGAGTTAAAACAAATATTTTTAATATCCCGGGCTTGAATAATTATCAGAGATGATTGGTTTTATCTGAACCGTGTATTAATAGTGTGGTACTCTGTAACCCAGAGGGGTCAGTACTATACTTTATCTTAGTTATTGTCTTTTTGAAGGTTGTACAGAATGTCCATATGAACATTAATTATAGCCTCAGAACAAGCCAAAATCTGTAATCTTTGACATTGCACCCATACTGTGTGAAAATACACACTTTTGTGGTTTTTGTAGTAAAATGGACAATAATAGATGAGTTCCTTACAAAATGCATGTAAGTAGAAATCTTGTGAATTTCAGTTTTAATTCTCACACCTACTGTGTGCAGGGGACTAAAATCTGGTCCCTGTTTCCTAAGATTGCCCAGGTAAGCTGGCAGGAGAGACAAAAGGTGTAAGTAAGCATGTATAACTGTAAGACTAGGACAGCCTCCCAAGAGTAGAATTGACCAAAAATACCATGTGAGATGAGAAGCTGCTTTCTAGCTGGGAGGATCAGTGAAAAAGTTGGGAGTTACGATTTTGAACTGGGTTTTGAAGGATGTGCTTGCTCGGAGTCGGAATCGATTTGACAGCAGCAGGTTTGTTTTTTGTTTTTTTTCCTTAAATAGGCAAAGACTATGGGGGAAAGACTAGAGTGAAGGAGAAAAGTGCTTCTTCGCCCAAGGTCTGGTTTACATAAGCTGGAGCCTAGGACATACATAGTGTGTGTGATGTTAGAAGAAGAGGAATTCCCTAGGTATGTCTAGCAATATTTGACCTGCCTTCTTCCACCCCTCAGCTGCTTCTCAGTGGGGAAAATAGAAGGAAGCAGAAGAAACCGTAATCTTACCCTCTGACCCATTGCCATCAAGTCCATTCTGACTCATAGCGACTCTATAGGACAGATCAGAACTGCCCCACGGGGTTCCCAAGACTGTAATCTTGACAGAAGCCGACTACCACCTATTTTTCTCCCTTGGAGCCAGTAGTGGGTTCGAACTGTTGACCTTTTGATTAGCAGCCAGCGCTTAACCACTGCGCCACCAGGGCTCCTTCTTACCCCCAGTCTTCTATTTTCTTTCTCCATCTTACTTGCTGTTTTAGGATGCTAAAATTTTAAAAGGATAAAATTAGGGAAGAGGAGTGGGGGTGGGAGTGGGGAAGAAATGCAGTATAGCACAGGGGGCTCTTTACCATACTTTCCTCCCTGTTCCTTTTTCAGTGTCCTCTCCTTTTCCAAAGCTTGCCCGAGTCCACCATAGGGAAGAGCAAGGAAGAGGGGAAAGGGGAGTTTTTATACCTGACCATTCATGTTCAGCCTGCCTATAGTTATATGAGAGTATAAATTGAGTAGTGTTTGCAGAAAACAAAAAGATACACTGCTGAGCATGCAGACATAATTTTGATGGATCCTAACCTTAGGTCTTCTATGTCATCATCATAATCATCAATTAAGTTTTATTTAGGACATGTAAGATGTATACACAGGGGAATTTTTTTTCTTAATTTTTTTTTTGAAGGGGGGAGGGTTTAGAAGAAACATGTTTTGCAAAAAGATAGTACTTCAGGAACAATGATGCTGGCTAGACATGAATCGTTTACACTTTCAGTAAATTATAGTCTTTTGGGGAAAAAAGCATACATATATGCTTTGTTTTTTTCCTTCACCGTAAATAGAAAAGAGAGAGAGAGAGAGAGACAAGAAAAACTAAAAGCGAAAGAACAGGCTTAAAAAAAATAAAATTAAAGCTACCTTGTGAATATGTGAATAAATGATCCTGCTAGAGAGGTTTATGGCTAGAAGGTAAACACTGCTGTTGTGTTTCAGGATGATTACTTGTCCAATTTTTCTTTAAAAAAAAAAAAGTGAACATATTTGATTTTCTCATAAAATACTGGTTCTTTACCTTCTGTAAAATTATGTCAAGTTGAAAATTTTATTATCTGATAGTATAGTCCATTCTTTCTGCTAGAGGATTATTCTAGGAGCTTGGCAACGATTCTACTCTTGTGAGGCAAATTAGAGACTATTAATGGATCTTTGTCAGGGCACTAGGGATTGTACATTTGTATACATATGTGATGAAACTACTTCATATGTCCTATTTTTAAAAACCCAGTTTTGGGTTTACATTTAATTTGAGGGTTAAATATCATTTTGGAAAATACACTTTTAGAAAATATTTGTTATGTAAATTGAGAGGTTTCTTTTCCAAGCTCTGGGTAACATATAAATTATGAATGTTCCTGGTTGCTGAGCAGTTCAGTGGTTACATCCTTGAGATTACATAAGATTAAGCAAAGTAGGTAAAAAGCTGAGATACCTTCCCCTATGAACTTTCTCCTCAAAAGACAAACTGGAGGGAATTTTCTGATTGGCCACAGACATTCTCCCAGAGGGGCTAATGCAGGCTCTGTAGAGTTTGACGGTAATCTCTCTTTTTTTCAGCTTCTGCTCCTTGCTGGGACAACAGCAAGAGAAGGAAATTAAGGAGCCACCCATAATTTACCCAGATAGCCCGAGAACAGTCAATAGACCACAGACTGTGTCCCCAAGGAGAAAAGCTGCAGGCATCTGAGGATAAACCACTGCGAACAGCTTTTAACATCAAGCCAACCTGGAAGACTTTGACTCCAAAGTACCAGGTAAATTAGAAGAACATGTTTTGGTTTTTTTCCTAAATCATTCCAAAATTATTTTTAATATTTTTTAACAAACCTGTTGCCAGAAAGAAGACTAATTACAACTTCATTGTGAGATTCACTTTTACTTTGCTTACTTAAACCCTTATTTAAAGGAGTCTCTATTATGTACAGTACTGTCACATACATAACTCTGACAGAAGTTTTGGGGAGGGGAGAAAAGTACTTCGATCCTTCATTTCTCACTCAAGTTATATATGAAAGCCTTAGGTGTCCATACTCCTTATGACAGTTCTTTTATATTACGCATAAGGAAATAATATCTTTAGAAAGTTTTTCTAGTAAGCTGGGATATATTTCAATGCAATGACATAAGCGTAAATAGTATAAATCTTTTTTGCAAATTGTAGAACTGTTAACTTTTACAAGCATAACCTATGAAATTTTTGGACAAATACATAGCCTGTAGGCTACTTGTTCAAATCTTTGAGTATTAAGAAATAGCATTTAAAAAATACTAATAATGTGCATTCATACAGAGGGGGAAAGCACTGGGATCTAAATGTTACCTATGGACAGGAGAACATGTTTTGTGCAAGCTTAATACCAAAAGCAGGGTTGGATTAGGTAGTACTTAATAGCAAAAGGTTAGTGAGATAGTACCAAGTCCCAGGAAGGTGTTTCTTTATAACTTTTATATGCATATGAAATCTTAAAATGATGTTTAGTAATTCTGGTTATGTTTATCCACCTTAAGAAGTTCTATTTTAATATTTTTAAGCATAGAAAGTAGAAAAACATGCAACAATATTTGTTACCTTTTTCTATCTGCAGTCAGACATCATATGGAAATAAGACACTACTCTCTTCCCTTTTTGATTGATGAACTTGCAGATCTAAGCCTAAAAATAGCAGAAATGCTACCCTTGCTTCTTTTATACACACACACACACACACACACACACACACACACACAAATACACGTAAATCTACCCATACATGCACGCACACATTCTTAAAATGCAGCCAGTTTTATAATCTTTCATAGTAAGTACTTATGCAACTGATTGTTTTCTTTGTCCTTGAGGTTGAAATGATGAATATGGTACTAGTGATACTTATCAAGGTCTCCTTGTCATCTTTGATATTTGTAGTTATTATTTTCAGAGCCACTTGATATACGCTATTTGATGTCTTAGGCCGTTTTGAAAGCTGTGTATTCTCTACTCAAACTCTTATTTGCCCTGGGGCACAGGGGTGGTGGTGGTGGTGGTGATGATGTTGATAAGAGTTCAGCAAGTGCAATTTGGGAAAAGCTCCCCAGGGTATTGTGCAACCACCACCACCACCCTTTCCTTGTGTTCTGATCCTCTTTGTTGAGCTCACACCATGGTTCAATAATCTAGCATAATCATTGTTGTGTGACAAGTTTTCTGTTTACTACTGCATTATTTAAAATTACATTTTAGAGCAGAGCTAGCAAACTGGTGGCCCATAGGACAAATTTAGACTTCAGTTTTGTTTAACCTATAAGGGTTTTGTTGTTGTTGTTGTTTTTAAATGAGTTAATTGCCAATATTTGACTATTTGGAAACTTCATAAGAAGTCAGATACCTAGCTTCTCTTGGGAGATTAATAATCTGGGAACCATGGTCTTGTTACTATTCGAAGGACTGAAGTTTTCTAGACTTTACCATTCCCTAAGTATCTAACCCAACCAGCCGTACATATTTATGTTATCACCTGACCTCTGCAGAAATTTGAGTTCGTGAGTCCTGCTTTGAAGTATGCTTAAGTGTCAGTTTCTTCTTTTCCTAACTTAAAGTCACACCCCTGTACTTTACACGTAACACTGTTAGTCTTTATTCTCTCCCAGTATTTTACAATTTATTATTTTTCAGAAAAATGCATGAGCTTTGAGAATAATGTCTGTCTGAGGTTAAGCTGATACTTGCCTATGAAAAAGGAAGACTTATTAAAGTATTCCATTGTTTTTAGTTAGGAGATCTGATTTGCATAGTGCTAAAGTCTGAGTAGTTCTTTCCAGACTTTGAGATTATCGTCTCAGAGTCTGGTGTTTCCCTAAACTGAGTTCCATTGCCTTCTAATAATCTGACTGTTTTGGTCCCTTGGAGGTAAAACGATTCACTGAGCTGGCTTAAATTTGAATGGCGTCTGTAGTGATTTAGAGTCCATTTTCTAGTCCCTTTCTCATTCTGGATGCCAGGCTGATTGAGTGATCAGTATGCCAATGCCATCCACATCTGTGGCACTTCTGACATTGAGACATCTAGCCTTCGGAATTAGATGTACACTCAAGCACAGTGGGTTGTAGTAAATCACAAAACTTTTTCCCCATCTTTGATCACCGTATATTGTTTTGTGAGCTAAAATATATACAGTAATATTCCTATTAATGTGAGCTTGAACCAAATTTTTATATATTAAAGAGTAAATTGACCATGAAGGTATTTCAAATCATAGGGTCCTTATGGGTATATCATTTCTCTGTCTGCATTAGCTAAACTCAGACATTCATCATTTGATTGTAGTTTACAGATGAGGGGAAAACAGTGGCTCTTACCCCAACCACCCATTTAGCTTTAAACTGGTAATGATTGTTACTTAAGCAGATTTCAAGCCTTAGGGTATCCATTTTTAAAAGTTGATGTAATCAAGAAAGGAAGCCAGTTGGTTTGGATTTTTACTTCTGGTAGCTTGGTGTCCTTCTGCCTGCATTACTTTGCCCTATCTCATGGAATCTTTTAGGCTTAGGTCAGTATTGCCCGCTATCTCCTGATACTTTACAACAAGCAACGATTAAATGCACCTGAGTCCTTTGACGATCAGATTTAAGTTCATGGAAATAAAGTAACTTGAAATTTGTTTCCAAACATTTGCTGAGTTGTGACTTCACCATATGAGGAAAAAAAATAAACTCTTCTTTTAAAAGGAAATACAGGTGATTGACATCTCATTTTTTTTAATGAAATTTTTTTTTGGCCTTTTTGTCACAGAAATTAGAGTTCATATGCATTTATACCGGAAATGGATACAGAAAGGACCTTAATCTCCTCTTGTTGGAGTTCCTGTAATTGTGTTCACATTCCAATTCACTGAACACCCTGAGGAAATGACAACCAGGACTGACAAAGTTGAAAAAATGTAGGGCGAGTTTAGGAGCCATTCATTATTGGCATGTGAAATAGGTGGAAATGTGAAAAAAGTAAACTCAGTAAATCAGCTAACTAGTCAGCACATACAGTATGGTTAGACACAAACTGGAAGAGGAGAAAGAGTACTCAGTCCTGGCATAGTAAGAAAACTGACATTAACTTCCTTTTATCTGCTTCTAGGGTGAGGAAGCTTCTCCCTTAGGTAGCAAAAGTAGAGAGAATATCAGAAAAGCTGGCGGGAATGATACCATTTCAGCCACTCTCTTCTTTCCTCTCCTTGGCTTCTCTCCGTCTCGTTCTCCTAGGTTGAAGGTCTCCTTTGCTCAGAACATGCCTAATTCTGAAGAGCTAAAGAGGCCAAGAGTGAGGTGTCAGAAGGTTGGCCACCTCTTCTCTCCCCGGGAGAGCAGTGAAGAAACCTCTAGTTCCTTCTCCTCCATTTGAACAGAGTGGAAACAAGGGACCAGGAAAGAACCCTTGTCTAGAGATAAAAGCTGTGCGTTAGACCAGCTCTGCCCTATACATTCTTTTTCTCAATCTGGGATCTGAGGTTTTAGAAAGATGAATTGCCCAACTGGCTGAAAGATTAAGACTACCTTTGAAAAAAATAAATTGTGCATTAAATGCATATCCAGTAAAAGTGGGAATGAAGATGTAATTAAGTGGGGTAAAAAAAAGGAGTACACTGTTAATGCCAAATTGTCTCACACATGAATACTTGAAATGTTCTTGATTTTCTTGTTGTTCTTTCAGTTTTTTCTATTTTTAAAAATAACATTTAAAAAATTTTCTCACTTATACAAAAGAGAACAATACAATAAATCCCCATTTGCGCTCATCCAGATTCATCTATCCCATTAACTTTTTATTCTGAAGTTATTAGAAGTAGATAGATATCGTGTCATATCCACCTTAATGTTTTTCAGTATGCATCTCTTAAAAATATGGACATTTTCCTACAAAACCATAATACCATTGTCATAGCTAACAATATGAATGTTAATTCATTACATATTCAGATTC